GTGTGACACGGCCTTAAGCTTCTACAGATTGCACTGCATTCCCAATAGTTTTCATGTTTATTCCTATCGTGCGTATTATTTCTCTTCGTTATACATTGTTCTCTTAAGAAAATACAGTGTTTATTTATTTGTGAATTTATTAATTACAAAGTTCCGTATTAAGCCATATCACAGCCTTGGTGCTTCACCAAAGGTCATCTTCACATTTTAAGTTAATTTTTTTCTTATAATAATAATAATAATAATTATTATTATGGGTAATTGTTACCCAGAGCTACACACCACCCAAAACCAGGACATCATTCTAACCCAAACACCCAGCCGAACCTTTCCCACCTTCTATTTATTCCGTTTAATGGGGGGACAAGCCCCCCCCCCCTGTAACCCCCATTTATTAGTACTTTGTACCAACCTATAGAAAACGGATATTAAAAACATGGACATTTTCGTCATTTTCTAGTAAACATGTCTACTATAGCTTAAACTTTGTCTTTTTTTCTTATTCTTTTTTTTTTTTTTTTTTTTTTTTTGCTGTGAGGGATGGAGTTATCTATTTCCCCTCTATTTCCGCTTGTCGCTTTCGGTAACCTATATTTCGGCGATTGTGTGTGCGTATTGCACAGTTAACAAGAACAACGAAACAGCCCGAAACAGGCTTGTAGGAGCTTGTTTTTATCTTTTAATGCAAGAATTGTACTTTATATAATTCAAATTAATGAAGATTGAGTTAGTATCTGACCGGGAAAGCGATTTATGGAGCAAAATTTTCGGTTTGTGTACTGGTGTCGCCATATTTGATGGGATTGGCTGGACTTGAATAGTTATATTAAGTGTAATTCTTGCATTAACAGATCAAAATAATCTTCAAGCTCCATTTTACATCCAGTTCGGTCATTTCGGTGTTCTTATGCACTCTTGCCAAACGAAACGGAGCTTGTCGGATGTTATTCTTGTCTTTTAATTCAATAATTGTACTTAATATAACTATTAAAGTCCAGCCAATCTTGTATCTAATATGGCCACGCCAGCGCGAAAACCGAAAATTGTGCTCCATAAATCATCGATTTCTAAGTCAGATACCAACTCGATTTTCATTATGTGGACTTGAATAGTCTTATAGAGTATAAATCTTGCATCAAAAGTTAATGATTTCCTACAAGCTCCGTGTCGGCCTTTTTTGCATCCAATTCGGTCCATTCATAAGAACACAGAATCGGAGGACAATTCTTGCATCAAAAGGTATAAATAATATCCTACCAGCTCCGTTTCGACTTATTTTGCCTCCGATTCGCTCCATTTCGGTCCGTTTCGGTGTTCTTACGCACCCTGTGTTGCTCCAGAACATCTGAGTATTACCCCAAAGAAAACATTTGTGTACAGTTTAGAGCATTTATGAATAAGCAATACATTTATGAGCGCAAATAAACAATGTATACAAACGACCAACAGTTTTTTGGCTCATTTTATCACCAGAATTGTTTGAGAATCTTTGTGGATGCCGGCCATGGAGTCGAACCATATTTGTGAGGCGTTACCAGTCCCTCCGTTCACCTGAGCAAAGCGTACCATGCGTTGTACAGCAAAATCAAATGAACGGCCTACCTGATAAGACGTTAGGCGAGGTATTGCGCGGTGAACAGAACGAGTCGCTTCGCCTCGCGGTCAGGGCTGACTGCTTTACTGTAACAAAATTTTTGCCTTTCTCTAAACATCAGATGATAAAGAAAACGGATATGAATAATAAAATTGGACCATGTACTAGAATAAACGGATGTATATAGAATTACAGCTACAGTGAGTAGGATTTGATGATGCCCAGCTAGAAGCCAGTTGAAGTGACATCGGATGAAATTTCCGCCGCCAAGACGTTCGCATGATTTATATGCACAGCAAACACAAAACCATTTAAAAAGCTTCAAATCGTGTTTTGAAACTGAGGACGGGAGCAAAACCTACAATTGCGGTCTACAATTGTGCGGTCAAATCCGGGATTACTTTTTGACTGGTTGGCGCACAATACAGATGCATCATATCATGACTGAACGAAAGCTACTTGTAAATATGAAATGCGTTTTGTAAGTTTTCTGATGATCCTATTAGAATTATGCATAACATTTTGTTAAGTGTTGCCCAAACAGCAGCGGTATTTAACACATAGCATGAATTTACAAATAATAGTACAAAACACGAAGTTGAAACACGTAGTTGCGCTATTGCCATTAGTTCCATGCTAAGCCATCATTGGCCATTGCGGTCTACGCGGATTTTATCACAAACAACTAACCCCCTTTGAGAAAGAGTTTACTAACCCTGGTGATGGTTAACCTCAGAACTTGATCCCAAACAGCAAACTCATAGCTATTCAAAATGACTCGCCTTCGATCCCCAAGTCTTTTGTCAAAAGTTCTGTTTTGCAGTTGTAAGTAATATGCAGATTTTATGATAATTAGAATGAAAACCATTTTTATTAGCGGAACAATAATCAAACAACATTACATATATTATATTTCCGAATGACATGGCATGATTAGATCAGAGGTGTATTGCAATTGTGCTTTTACTGGCATCTCTTTTATATTAATTTGCACATCTCTTAAGCACTGAAATTCAAAGGTGTAAACCCGAAAACTTGAGAGAGAGAGAGAGAGAGAGAGAGAGAGAGAGAGAGAGAGAGAGAGAGAGAGAGAGAGAGAGAGAGAGAGAGAGAGACAGAGACAGAGAGAGAGAGAGAGACAGAAAGAAAGGTATTATTTATTCACTCTTATCTTTTATTATTATCATTATCATTACTTGTATTGTTATTTCCATCATACGGATGATTATAATTAACATAATGGATATGCCGTCTTTAGAATGTTTCTGCTATCTCTCATGACTCACGCTTTCTCTCTCTCTTCCCTCTTTTATGTCTCTTTTTTCCCTCTTTTATGCTAAACCATGCAATGATCACGCTCTCACGTAGACACACAAACTGAACCCTTTCTGATGATGTATTTAGCAGAAACTATAGAGTGCCTATCTTGCATTATATTAATCCCAAACAACAAATTCATAACTATTCCAAACGACTCAGTGGTAGAACACTCGCCTTCGAGTCTCAAGTCTTTTGTCAAAATTTCAGTTGTAGCTAATATGTAGATTTTATGATAATTAAAATGAAAATCATTTTTATTAGCGGAACAATAATCAAACAACACTACATATATTACACATTTCCGAATGACATGACATGATTAGATCAGTGATGTATTACAATTGTGCTTTTACTGTCGTCACTTTGATTATATTTTACACATCTCTTAAACACTGAAATTTAAAAGGTGTACAACCCGAAAACTTGAAGTCAGCAACAGCTAAGATCTATGAGAGAGAGAGAGAGAGAGAGAGAGAGAGAGAGAGAGAGAGAGAGAGAGAGAGAGAGAGAGAGAGAGAGAGAGAGAGAGAGGGGTATTATTTACTCACTCTCATCATCATCTCTTATTATTATCATTGTCATTATCATTACCTGTATTATTTCTATCATACGGATAATTATAATTAACCCATTATGGACGGATAGAAAATCACCCCCGAGTTGCTCTTCCAGGGTGAGGAAGCAGTGCGCATATCGGCCCGCTGGGGTACGTGCCCGGGACGGCTCACTAGCCCAGGGAAGTTTTCAACTTGCTCTGGCGGGCAGTGTACAGAAAATTACTACTTCCTTCCCTTGTCGCTTTTCTAGCAGCACCCACATTGCCTCCAACGTCGGAATGTTGTGTCCATTGTCCACTGTCATGTGCAGCTGCTAGTCTTCCTCCTCCTGAAGCTCCTGGGATAGAGCACGTCTAAAGGAGCCAGGGTGACCACCTTGTTGCAGCAGACCTCTCATCATCTCCCTCCTGAAGTCGCACTGCGGATGCTTGCCGCAGATGGCCCTGTGGACAGCCGGCGCGTCCACGACTACCATATCCAACAGCGAGAAGAAAATCTTTTATCACTTGATGGTTTTTCAGTCGCAGGATAGGATTGTGCTCGCTGGTCCGAAAGGTCAACGCCCTTCATCCCGTTGTTGTAAGACATGGCCTTAGCCTTTGACCTCTCTTTCCTCGGTGGTTGGGAGGCAGGCTAACAACCTTGCTGGTATGGGGGATGGAGAGCATTGTTACAGGATGCTTGTCCAGCCACTGGGGTACTCCGGCTGCCCTCGACTCGCCTGCAGGTACGTGGGCTTGCCCTTCATATCGGTCGGCACAGACTGTACCAAAATCACTGGTCTTCCGGATGCAATTCGCATTTCTTGTCGAGACGTGCCTTCTTTAGCAGATTGATGACGGTCTTCATGCTCGCGAGGAATGCCACACAATCTTGCCCAATGTAGATAATGTAGATTGCTGTATACCCTGCCTCTGGACCGTCGGACGAGCATAGCTTATAGACCTTGAGCTCTCTCCTTGCCCGCTTGCTTGGGTTGTAGTGGAGGGAGTGATGACATCTCTTGAAGGCCCACGGTCTTGTGCGGAATGAAGACGGTTCTGGTGTCGTCCAGGATGCCTAGCAACGGACGCAATTTCCACAAACGGTCGTTCTCCACGTGGTGACCTCATTTTCCGAGAAATGGAGTTAACCTAAAGGCGTCCAAGCGATCCCTCGTCATCGTCAAGACTGAAGAAGACCTCAGGGGATCCGTTGATTAGAAGTCCCTCGCATGACACCTAGAACAGAGTCCCATGAGAAGCCGAATGCCGAGATAAAACCGGATCTTCCGAATCAACGTGTCCTTCCAAGCCCTCATGTGCGAGGAAGGCGTTCGAGGGTGCTGGAGTACATAGCTGTAATTGCAAGAAAGACCAAAACACGCGTTCGAAAATGGGCAAATAAAATGCAAATCACCATACTTTCAAATTCCACCCCCACCCCAGCCTTCCACTTCTGACTAACAGTTAAAAGTTTTTTTTTCTGTCCTAGGAACATGGACTGAACATGAACTGGCTGCCGTCGTATTGCTGTTCGATGGCCAAGAT